ACTCGCGTACATGCATGATCAAGACAATGACCAATATTATATCATTCACTTATTTACATTTATAGTATTTTAGCTCACATTATTAATTATTCAATTGTACAATAAATTTCTTGTACACGGCTCTAATACGATGTAATCACAAACGGTAAGATATAGATTACACAATTATAAATAAAAAGTTTTGGCAGTGTGTAGGTTTGTGACGTAGGTAAAGAAAATTGTCGGAGGTTAGCAATATCTACATACAATCAGGCTCACCAGCTGAGAGTTTGAAAAACCTAATAACGGATTAATTTTTAAGGTTGTTTGGATTAAATGCGGAATAAGTTTTAATGTATTGTTAATGAAGGAAATGATAATTTATTTTGAATTGTATAGGAATATTGTCCGTTATCTTGAACATGTATAGACGCGAGCCGTGTACAAGAAATTTATTGTACAATTGAATAATTAATAATGTGAGCTAAAATACTATAAATGTAAATAAGTGAATGATATAATATTGGTCATTGTCTTGATCATGCATGTACGCGAGTCATGTACGAGAGAGAATTGACACAAATATTTAGTGAATGTAAAGCCAAAATGCTATGAAATAAAATTGAAAATAAATAATGGTTAAAAAAGAATAAAAAGACGATGTTATATATCACTGTTATTGGTTGTTGTTCTATATTATTTTCTTAGTGTCCTGTCAAAAAATGAATGAAATGATATGAAATATTACATTTTACGTAGGTACTTATTAAAATTTAACATGGTTTATCATCAATTGATGATCATCCTGAAAAAAAATGATCATCATCTTTGCTTCCTTTTCTGTAATAAATTCTATGTAAATGTACACAATTTGGAAAAGAGTTATAACCGATTAACTATAATTATAAGTATTATTTTTTTCACTTTTCTATAGGCAATTCACCTTAAAGTTATATTATATAACCACTAAAAATAAAATTGTTCTTTGAATGTTTGAATAAATTAATTTTTTGTTGAGTAAAGTTAATAGCCGTTATAGCGATTTTCAATAATTTTCTGTAAACGATATAATAAATTTCATATTTTAGCAATTATTTTCGATCTATGTAAAAGTAATAATAAAATATAACTATTAACAATATAACTTTTTAACTTCTGTCTTAATTTAAAAAAAATTAAAACTCTCCTTTTTATATTTTACTTACATTCATATTATAACATACACGTGTTCTTCTATAAGTTATGTTAAAATTAGGTGATCATAATACGATGTAATCACAAACGGTAAGATATAGATTACACAATTATAAATAAAAAGTTTTGGCAGTGTGTAGGTTTGTGACGTAGGTAAAGAAAATTGTCGGAGGTTAGCAATATCTACATACAATCAGGCCCACCAGCTGAGAGTTTGAAAAACCTAATAACGGATTAATTTTTAAGGTTGTTTGGATTAAATGCGGAATAAGTTTTAATGTATTGTTAATGAAGGAAATGATAATTTATTTTGAATTGTATAGGAATATTGTCCGTTATCTTGAACATGTATAGACGCGAGCCGTGTACAAGAAATTTATTGTACAATTGAATAATTAATAATGTGAGCTAAAATACTATAAATGTAAATAAGTGAATGATATAATATTGGTCATTGTCTTGATCATGCATGTACGCGAGTCATGTACGAGAGAGAATTGACACAAATATTTAGTGAATGTAAAGCCAAAATGCTATGAAATAAAATTGAAAATAAATAATGGTTAAAAAAGAATAAAGTAAATTAATATTAAATATATAAAGATAAATAAATTTATATCTCTAAAAAGTGTATAGAAAAGAAATAAAATGAAAAAAGTATTGCCCGGACTAGACAAGTTGCATAATGATAAGATGATTTATTTTCAAAATTTGAAGTGACTCAATCCAATAATAACTTAGTCAAAGTGCACTGCATCTATGGTATGGAAAAATATTTTATAGGGAAATACTATGTTAATGTATGTATTTAAATGTCATAAGCTAATACGAAACTAAAAAAATGTAATTTATATTCATATTAGAAATAAGTTTTATATTTGTTGTTATTATTTAAAAGGAAACAAATGTCTTCATTTCTTTTTTATACGTTTTTTGTCATTTTAAACTTTTAGTACCAACCACATGTCTCTCTTCATTAACTAGTTTCCTATATTACATTTAAATGATTCACGTTGATTTTAAAATTAATGGTTAAAAAAAGTAAACTTTTTGTGATGTCCGTATCCAAATCGTAAGTGATTTGAACATATAAAAATAATTACTCGTTGAACCAAAATATTTCTCATAAGTATGATTAATAAAATAAGTACGTAACTATTTTTTTCGGACATGCTGTTCGATATTTACAAAGTTTGTATCTACGTTATGTAGTACTATTATTTATTCTGTGTCAACGTGGACGAAAAAGGTACCTGAAAACGGATTACGTTCTATAAACATTTTATGACGTTGTGTTAAACAATTGGCAGAAACCGCACCCCCTGGGCCTGTTGGTTTGAAATGAAATGAATGATTTTATTCAATAGAGACTATTGGATAATACTTATTGAAAATCATTTTTGTATTTACCACTGGTTCGAAAAAAACCTTTTTTTACATATAACGAGGTTTGTTTTTACCGGTTTCGGTATTTATTATATTTCACGTCATTTTAATTTCATTTAAAGCGGTCTTAATTTTGTTGCTAATATGTAAAGATTTGGCTGTGGAGCACTCTCTTTTAAACATTTTACTATAATTTTTGACATATTCTCTAAAAGTATCGGAAAGATTATATGATCTTTCATGTTAAATTTCATATAATCTTCGTTTGCTCTTATGAATACCTACCTACCTACCTACCTATACCTACGGTCGCCCATTCAATAAATGCCTTGCGACTGTTACTGGAGAACGTTTTAGAATTAAATCCTACATCCTACACCTTTAAACGAGCAATTCTTGTATATATATATATATATATATATATATATATATATATATGATCGAAATCTCGGAAACTGCTCCAACGATTTTCATAAAATTTTGTGTCCAGGGAGTTTCGGGGGCAATAAATCGATCTATCTAGGATTTATTTTTAGAAAATGTCTTTTTGTCCGTGTTTTCAGGCAATGAAAAACTGCTACAATATAAGAAGGTAAATTTTGACACCGTGTTAATGATCGTAATAGCTCAGATGTATATCGAGCTGTCGCGAAATCGTTGCTTGAAATGCCTTGGTTCGCGTCCTGGCTTCGGTCCGACTTTTTTTTCCTTTTTTTTCAAGTTCCATTGTTTTGTGAGGAACCCTATTATTTCGAGCCCTTTTTTAGTATTTTTTAAAAATACGGAAATTTTTATTAAACTAATTGCACTCATGATTTTTTTATTCAAATAACCAGTTCAGTTTTTTCTATTATATCAATAACATCAAAAAAATAGGATTCATGTTTCATCAGTATGTAATTCGTATCTAAATGTAATTTAAAAAAAACCAAGGTCATCCAGGTACTGTTTTATTAAATTCATGCTTATAATGGTAAATAATACCCCATATAAATAGTCTGAATTGTTCTTGTAAGAAAGCGACAGAATGTTTTTACCATATTACTTATAAATCTCCTCAGGTATTTTGCATTAATCGGAACAAACACAAATTCTCTCAATTTCCTGTTATTTGTGTATATATGGTAATGAAACCAGTTGACCACAGTGATCTGAACTTAGTTTTTGCATTATGAATTTCTTGATTGGTACAACATCTGTAAAAATATGATAAATACAAGTTGCACTACACACTGCTTGCAGCTTCCAGAAGATTGATATTAAAGTCTCCGCATACTTGCGTACTTTAGTAATTGTAAGTATGCTGAATATTTCAAATCAATTTTTAAAGTAGTTTTAAAGAAAGTTATTTATTTATTTTATGGTTACCACGTAATTCAAAACGAAGCTGACACATGCAAGTAAAACAAACAAGTAGTTAAAACCGATTTGGAGCTCATTACCATGAAAAGCAAAAAAAAAATTGCTCGACTGGGAAAGGAATGCGCTCACAAAAAATACTTGTGTAAACTACCAACTGAATGCTGCTGTGCTACGTACGGTGAGGGTAGAGAATCAAAGATTCCTTTTACTGTAAACGATGCATTCAATCTTAGTCATCAGGGATAACTCATATGCATTTTAATTCTTAGTCATGGATAGATGTAGATATCTATGAGTTCACCATCCACTTACCAAAAAGTTGACTATGTGCACTTTTATTTAATTAAAAAAACATGATTTTCTTAATTGCTTATTTTCGTTTTTTATGTACTATTTTTTTTTTCTCATTTAAGTTTAAGGGTTCCCGAGCTTTATTTATTGTATATGTTGCAACTACGACAAATTTATTTTTTTCTCCTTCGTAGTAAATTATTGTTTTCAGATCTTAATATTTTTGAGCCTCTGAAATTATTGCGTAAAACATAATATTTTTTAAATATTAAACATACGGACAAGAGTTGTGTGAATAAATACTAATCGTAATAATTGTCTCGATAAATAAGTCATAAAGATAGCATCAAATTCCAATTTTTACGTGTTCTCTGCAGAGGGTTCATATTGAAACTGTGTTAAACCTATATCAAATCAAAAAGCTTATTAATATTATTTTGAGTTTGAGTCACTTAAACGTACTTTATTTTTCAAACGAATTGAGAATGCGATTAGGTGAATTTCTGCACGGTACAAAAACCGCAACAAGTGTATCTATAGAAAGAGAAGAGTATCTGGCATAGCTTAGCGAATCACTGAGCTGAAGTGACAATAAGCCGTCAGGTCAACGGATTTCGAGTAGTAGCCACGTACTGGGAAGCGCTTTGTAACTCATCTTTTATTTATGTTTTCACTTTTTCGTCAGTATCATGTACATAGCGGTTAAGGAAATTCTCAGACGTATACGTTCCGAAGTTTAAATATGTATTTTGCTACTGATAGTAGATTAAATTATTTTTTTGTTTCAGTTACCGTTTCTTTAAACATCACTCTACTTGCATGTAGTTCTTTCGGATTCGTTGCTTGTGTACTCCTAATCATAGGTGTCTACAAGGTATGTACTGGGATCTCCAATAATGCTAATTATAAACCCGATTTAAATGAGAAAAAAAATTGATCCTTATTAAAAATTCTGTATGTAAGTAACTGAGTTTGTTGATAGTGGGATGTGTCATCATCCTTACAAGTTCACTGTTAAACATATTCCTCCTATAAATTTCCGCATAGGGGATATTTATAGTAGTTGCCACGCTTAGCAAGCGGGATAGGAGCAAGACTTACACACCGAAAATGAACATTTAAAATGACTTCGGGCTATCGCCGGACGGATCGGAGTGGATACTAAATTTCTATAACAACTTTAAAAACTCTGTCATAAGGTCTAAAATTGCGTTGCGCTCTCGACAATTAAAACGGCTTAGAAACTGTTAGAATCTTAAAATATTTTTAAAAAATTATTGATTTAAGTAATCAAAATAATGAGCAAGTAAATTACGAATATTGATGTTATGAATTTTTTTCAGTGATTCCCAAGCACATAGATTAAGTAATTTCATTGTAAATTAAACTATAGTGATTTTTAGAGGTGTTTTCGAAAATAATTATGATCGAGTCAAAATCATACAATCGTGTTTTTTTACAAACAAATTCAGGATAAAGACATGAATTTACCTACATCCAAATTCCAGTTTTGTTAGTGGTGACACCCACATCATATATAGGGATAAGATATATAGGGTAGTGCATTCTTATACGCGGCCACTACAAAGCAGTAGTCTACAAAGCAGCCATACATATGGGGAATACTATACACATATATTCCCAAATAATCTTCAATCAGAAGATGAACGTACCTAGTGTGATCAACTATTCATTCGAAAGTAAGCAGGAAAAGGGTTTTGGATCTAAGCTTACCAACACGTAAGCCCGGCGTAGTGAGTTTGCGTTAAAATTTTAAGTAATGCTTGCAATCTGGCGCGTATGCCCAGCTTTGAACGTAATAAAGCTGTTTATGTAATATATAAGTAGTAAATGTCCTAAAACATTTCTGGCATAATATACTTTCTGTAATTATGTACTTTAAGAAAAAATAAAAAGCTACTTACGTTATTATTTAAAAATCAGTTATCTAAAACTCTTTTCAATGCGTTAATATATGGTCACACATTTCAACAACCATCAGACGGAATACCAAGTCGTGCGTGACAGAAATTGTGATACGATTTCAACAGTAAACAGCAAAGAACTTTACAATTATTCTGTTATATCAGCGAAACGTGAAGCAAAAATAGGTAGTACGCTATAACTAATCATAATAATCAAGCTAAGAATTCTCTTCGATTTTCCCTTCGCTTAAATTTTTCCTTCTTAAGAATCATCTGGCACACCCACCTATGGTTATGTTACATAGTTCTTGCATCATTGCCTTGGTTTCCGATCACTTGTGATTTTTTAACTGCTCGTTATAAACATACAAAAATTTTCTAGTGCATTAAACACTAAAAAGGGGTGATCCCGTTACTATTCTAAAGATGTTAATTTGGCCTTCCGCCAGATGTCACTTACGGTTAACCACCTGGTTTGCTTAGTACTTCCACTAGATGATATTAACCTTTAATAGTTTGATGTTACTATTATTACATGGATACTATACATTATGATTATGAATATAAATTAACAGAAAATAAATTTGAATCATTTTTTAGGATATTAAATTATGTTTGCTGCCGTGGATCGTCGCAATGGTACTTGAAACTCTTGTCGAAGTTATCAATGTCGTCTATCTGTTTTATTTGCAGACTGTAAGTAGTAAAAATAACTAGGTAAGTAAGTTTATAAGTATTATTTATTATATTTAAATATTATTTTGACGCTACTGTTTTTTGATAAGATTTAAGTAACTTAAATTTATTTGACACATGTTATTAGGATCCTCGTACACAACTATAAAGTTAGTTTCTTTTATAAAAAATATTAGCAATGCTATCAACATCACTAATATTCCATTTAACCACTCCTGGTAAGCTTAAAACGCTTGTGATAGGAGTGATTCACCACAGTAGTCGAATCCACGACCTATTGAGTTAGCGGTCCGAACCCTGTTATTAGACTTTAACACATATGTTTGCTGTGGTCATAATATTGAGGCTTAATCTTAAATAACTTTAAAATATATAGTAAAAAATTCTAGGTTGTAAACTGAAAATGCGTGGTTTTTGACACTAAGGACAGATTTTATTATTCTAAGTCAAAATGTCTAATAATCTGTGAACAAAAATAATTATTTGGATGATTAACCATCGCATAAATGATTAAAATTAAATTAAAAATTTCCAATGAATCTTTTGTAATGTAAAAAAACGTCAACTTTTAGGAGTTGAAAGTAAATTGTATAAGCAAACGCGAAAGTAGGACACTTAATTTTTATTTTCCATGAAACATTACTTCACAATAAAGTATCAATTATCAGTTTAAATAGAGGTTGTACAAAAAATATCTTTCTTAACATCAAAGCTCACCCACACACATAACCGCACGCATGCACTAGAGCAATACGCCCGTCCGCCCGCATGCCTGCCCGCCTGCGAGACCGCATTTCCTTACACACGCACTTATGCACTTATGCACGCACACACGTACACACACAAACACAGCATAGATAATATTAATTTCTGGGTAATTATATTGGCTATTGCTACTGGTTCGGAAAAAATGTAATGAACGCTTGTAGCACCAGAGACGATGAACTTTTGCAGTATATACAGTGTAATTTCTCAAAGACTAGCTCAAACAAAAAAAAAAGAAAAGCTTTCAAACTTTAGTTCAAAGATATAAATAATAATATACAGTTTTTGAAAATACGAGTTACTAAGGCTTCTACATTTATTTGAAATTATCCCAAATTGAATGTGATTTATTTGCAACAAGGTTTTTGCCTACCGATCGCCCCTTACGAATTTTTGCGTAGGTACGCAGTAAAATCAGTTAAAGTAATCCATTATCACGGACTTTGAATTTAAAAGATAAAATAAACATAAGGCTTAAGTTTTTTTTTAGTAATTTTTCTTCCCCAATGCCTATATTATATTTCGAACCTTCTCTGCCGGTTCTTGGAAAATAAACCTGTATATGTATTTTAATCTTGGGAAATGGCAAGCAACAAAATTGGTAACGTAGGCTAAACGTAACGTAGAGTAAACAGGAAATTCTTTGGTTAAATTATTGTTCAGCTATGACAATAATTCAAAGAGTAAAATAAATTAAATAATTAATGGTGTCGAAATTACTTTTATAAATTTAACCAGTATCCTTTTAAATTAATAGAATTATAAACGTTTCTTTTTAATAGAAGAAATACCATAATATAGCATATATACTATAAAGTAATAGTAATAATAATAATATAGTATAATTTATTTATCGTGACACAAACAGCATTACATTTATGGCATTGCTACATGTGCAGTACATGCCACTAAAGTGAAATCTCGATAACTTCCCTAAAAAATATATTTTTCTAACTCTACGCTTAAGTGGGGGAATTAAGGTGTTACAGGTTTTATGAAAGTTTTGCGAGGTGATTGACTCGAAATATACTGAAAGTACCCTATAAATAAAAGTAATGAATACGTTATTTGAGATGTTTCAAAACAATTGAATAGGGGCATAACCCCATAAAGGGCAGAGCGTGTTCAGATTTGTAAGGTCTCCATACAAATTTAAAATGTCTCGGTATTTTAGACAATTCTACCTTTAAGGGGATAAGTTAAGGATTAAAGAGGGTTAGGAACTTACTAACCCTTGATAAAGATACTTGGATACACCACCGCTAACAAATAAGTAAACAAGCTAACTTCTTCTATACAACCTCATTAAAGAATGGTAAGGAGAAAAATGTCCATAAACAAATAATTGTTACTAAAAAATAAAATTGAATTAAAAACACAAGATGATGACAGTTAAGGAAAGTGGGATAGATACAAGAAAGAACGAGAAGTATGATGAAAAATATAAGAGTTTCAAGTAATAAATTTCAAGTAATTTTTGAAGGAAACAGGGATATAGCATGGCGTACAAATAGAAGCAAGGTTGCTCATAAGTCATAGCCGTGCAGCTGTTTCAGATATTGATTTATTGATAAAGGACGATGAATAACACTGAAGTACGAAGTGAGACTGTTAAAGTGGTTTCCACTATTCGAAAAGCTTTATTTAACTAAAAATCTGCGATTATTATCATTTCGAGATTAATAAGAATGAGAAAAATAAAACCAATTAAAACGTTTTAAAGTAATTCGAAAAGGGGATAAATATAAAAACCACCAAAAAGAAGTTTGTGACCATAACCTCTATTATCTAAAAGATATGCCAATCAGCAAATAAATTAAACCTAAATCATAAAATGAAAACCTATAATTGCAATTATTCTAGTTATTTTAGTCATGGCTGCGCTTTAAGTAATACAAAACCATTTAATAAATTGGTCACCAAATTTTAATAAACAAATTATTGTGCTATTTCTACTTAAATACGCCGTTTAATTGCCATAAAATGTTGCTATACTACCAACCATGGTATACTACCGACTCCAAAGTTGGCTCACGCCCCGTGCCGCTCTCACCCCCTAGTAATCGAACCGATTCCCGCAACTTAGTCACGCGGGAGCACTTGCGTTCGATTCATGCGAGTCTTGTATATTCTGTTCTTAGATATTTATTTTATTATGGAACGGAACGAAAACTTAGCGGGACCGAGTTCTTACGTTCCGCTGTTGAGTGACTTATTCGATTCTGAAGTAGAAAGCCGTGGTGGATCGAATCATCGTGGATAGTGGTTTTTGATAGAACATTTATGAATGTGCGAAGAGCAGAAGAATTTATAAAAAATGAGAAAACTTGGTCACTACCAGAAGTTCACAATATGACTGACAAAGGAGTAAAATATTACTACCATTGTAACAAAGTGAAGCTTCGGGCTAATTTTCAATATTCTGCCGCAATTTATCTTTTATTTGATACATCATCTGATGACCTATTAATGTTTAGTACTTAAAAATGTCATGATCACGAAGACTGTGACTCTCGGTCTTAGTAGACCGTAGTATAGTTACTAGAATTATTTTGTCATTATATGGGTTAATGATAAAAAGGAAAAAAATAGACAAAACAACGTGTTTATTAAAATAAGAATAATAATGATTTCAAATAAATTATTAATAAGGTATAAATGTATTAAAAAACTATAAGTACAAATGTTTGGAATGTAACAAGTTATATTAAAAATAAATATAAATATAATAACTTAAATCTAAAATTAAATCGAAAACTATTTACATTAAAATTCTACATCAGAATCATCAGAGTCATCGTCATCCACATGAATTACGATATCTTCTGCCAGATGAGATTTCTCCAAGTCCTCTTCTTAGAGTTTTTCTGCATGCTTCACACAATCTTCCCAGTTCTTTTGCGAAACGTTTAAAATTGCTTCATGCAGTAACACTTCGACGTCTGCTATTTTATAAGTGCTGTATTCGGTGGCCACTTAATTTTTTGCTTGAGCCCATACCAACTCAATTGGATTATATTGGCAATGGTAAGGTGGTAAGCGAATCACATCGTGTCCTGACTCCAAAGCTAACTGATCCAATTTATATATTTTTTTCTGGTCGGTTCCGTTGCACCTCTAAATATAATGTTGTTTATATATTCAAGTAAATACTTAAAAGAAAATAAACGTATTGCAAATTTTAAATAATAAAATCTGAAATACCTTTTGTAATAGTTCCGGCTTGAGTTCACTATCACTAAACTCAATCCCGTGTTGGCGGAGCCACTCCTGAATTTCACTCTTTTTATTAGCTGATGTCGGTTCCCGATTCATATGCTGGGAGTAGGGTGCGTTGTCCATTATGATGACTGATGGTTCATCAAGACACTGCAGCAGCTTTGTAAACCAGTCTGTGAAGCCTTCGGTATTCATTTCTGAATGGTAGTCCTCGTTCTGAAACTTCACAGCACAGAATACCGTTTCGGGTATAAAACCATATTTAGTGCAGCCTGCATTTCAAACTGAAACAAAATAATTAAATGAATATCATATTTTGTATTAAATTATTATTAGGTCATATTTCTTACATAAAAGATGAAAGAATAGTAACTTTTCGGGATCTATTTTCATTTCAGTGAAAAATGTTAAAACATTGTTGATAACAACATGTGCTTGTGCTGGTATATTGGTGCCAACAGGCAAAATACTATTTTAAATAAATTCTGCCGTTTTGGTACAAAGCAAAAATTATGTTACTAAAGAAATTCAAAGAGCGAATGCGCAAAAGCAAATTTCTCTTCGATATATCTACTAAATTATCACTGTACTTATTTGCAGGTATTAGGCGGGGGTAATAAAGGAAATTAAATGACTCATAACATAAGAATGTCGCACCATCCTTTGTATATCACACCGCCAAGCAGCCGTGTACCTGCCTTCGATGATTCATTTGTTGTTATCGATAATGGCTTTGCGTCCGCGCAACATGCTCATCCTAGCAGGTCTCAGGCCAAGCTATGATTTATGACCCCAACTGCACGGACTCTCACGCCAAAGTACTGTCCTGCACGCCGAGCTTCATTACAAGCTCATCTGGCAAGGGTTTTCTGTACTTTTAATCGGAAATAGAGATAAAAATAAACATTTTCACCCATTTTGATTAGCAGTCGCAACAACAGAACCTACGGAAAACTTCATAGTTTTATTTTCCGCATTAAAAATACAGTTTTCTCCCTCTACTCACACACTTTAACATATGAAGTTTTGGTCTGTGATGCAGCCAAAGGTATACAAACCGCCTTTGTGCACTTTTGTGAACTGATTCAGTTATAAAAATATTCTGGGCGGAAGTGAAAAAGAAAATTCAAACAAGAATAGAGCAAAGTGTCAAAAAAAACCACAGAAAGAAATACTACAAGATGTATATGCCTTAAAGTGTGCCTCAACCCAAGAAGTATTTGATCGAGCTTGCGAAACATTCATGGATAAGTGGAAAGCCGAAAAGGAGATATTGGCATACTTCGAAAACAAATGGCTTATACTAAATCGGTTCTTTGCGCTGGCCCACCTCGCGCAGTCACGCACACAGGGAGAACATTGTAGTGTGCGTGAATTTTACACCGTTCTAGAGCGATATTGTGCGCATATTTGAATATGCGCTCTTAAATGTCATTTTATATTAAAATACTGTAAATTTTTTATGATCATCAAATATTTTTGGATTAAACAATATAACATGGAGTTGGTTGCTGGATCACAAGTTGTAAAATTTTTGGTTATAATTTCACGCTAAAATGTTGATTTCATTTTGGTGATCATTTACTACATTTTTGGTAATACAATGTAATGTTTGGCGTTACATTTTACTAGATGTGATGACTAATTAAATATAAACCATTCGAAAATGGTAGAGCTAGAAAGTAGTCGAAAATGAAAAGTATAGAGCATAGAATTGTTTATAGTTTAAAGTAAAAGTCAAGATCAAAACTTTTATAAAATAGTATATGTATATATATGTAAGAGCTTCAGGCATCTATAAACGCCAAAATATACACCGCACATTTCTCTTGTCCAATTCTAAGCCCAATGATCTAAGGGTTGCGGATTTCGGATCGTTTCCAAAGCCGATACTATTTTAAAAATGTTAAAAAAATTATTCTCATGATTGTAGTATCATTCTCCATTATTATACTAAATAATAAATATTTTATTCGTAATAAAATTTATTATTTAAGAAAAGCACTACTTCAACTGCGAGAAGGATCGAACGTCGAAACGTTTGAATCAATTTGCAAATGCTGCAAGCTATAAAAAGTCAAAAATGACATATATAGAGCATAAAACTAAATAGAGCATAAGTAAATGTCAAAGGTCAAAACTTTTCTTCTATTTAAGCTTATAAGAGCTTTTGGTACCTGTAAACGTCAAAATCAACACCGCGTAGTAACAAGAAGACATACGAAGAAAAGAACTGGCATGAAACTCTATGGTATTTTTAAAGCTGTCTTGCTTTTTATTTAAAATCATTTTCATTAAAACTTATTATAAAATAAAACAATGTCAATATAATACTTTTTATCAATACAAATACAGGATTTTATTAATATCTATCTAGATACACGCGGAACTTATAACTTTTGCTTAGTTTTTATGTGACTGAGTCACACTCAGTGCCTATGTGGTATATTCATTATGAACGCTTTTTTAAAACTTGTTTTAATGAAATAAATAATTTTACCATGGTGATCCTGATCGCAATTCTTGTTTAAAATTATTAAATAATTGTATTGTCATTGGTGCGAGTGCAAATTTTCAAGTCAATCGGCCCTGTACAAGTTGGGTGAAAATCATATTAAATGTTTCCGTTAAAGTAATATCCTATCACTTTAACGGAAACATTTAATATAATTTTCACCAACTTGTAGAGGGCCGATTGACTTGAAAATTTGCACTCGCACCAATGACAATACAATAATTTAATAACTTTAAACAAGAATTGAGATCAGGATCACCATGGTAAAATTATTTATTTCATTAAAACAAGTTTTAAAAAAGCGTTCATAATGAATATACCACATAGGCACTGAGTGTGACTCAGTCACATAAAAACGAAGTAAAAGTTGACTGGTAAATACATATTTATTTGTACCCGCTTGTGAGCTAACAATTAATATTTTCTAAAGTAGTTTTTTTTTTAAAGAACATAATTCAATTACTGAAAATAAGGTTCAAATATTTACTAAAGTTTCAAAATTTAACGAGGTTATAATAGCTTTCCAGCACCTTAAAAAGGCCAAAACCCTGGGCGAAGATGCAATTACAGCGGAGCTTATTGACGCGGAAGAAAAATAGAACTTTAACTCTTTTAGGAGCTCTTTAATTCCGTCGTACAGATCCGTACGGTGGTATAACAGATCCCCCTCGCCCTTATATTATTTTCTCTTTGCTCTCTAACTATATTTATAAATATATTATATTTTATTTTATTTAAAGTGTCCGTCTATAAAATAATTAATTGACGTGACCAGAATAAACAAATATTTTTTGATCTTTCCAAATGATCCATCTAAATCCCTTATTTACGTTGTGTTTGTATAGCAACTTAGTTATTTTAGGTGTCTTTTATAAATAATGAATACTCATTAGAGCAATTGAAAGCCGTTGATAGTGCCTTATAAGCTAAGGTTCAAGCCCGTTCACGTAAACAGGGCTTGAGAAAGATTAAGAACATTAAATCGTCCCTATTCCACTTGTATCAGACTTACATCAATCAATTTATTATGAAAAATTCCTCCCCGCTTGGGAAAGTCTCATACTTAAATAAAATTACCCGATACAAGGGATTCGCTCTCCCACATTTAAAAAACGTGGAGTGAATAAAGTTTTTTTTATTTTTATAAAAGAGAGAGTTTGTGCGTTATAAAAAATACAGCTTTCAAATTTTTGTTCAGGTTTTGAAATTATATTCATTAATACATAATTTTCGAATGCGTACTCCATTGTATAAAAATTCAGTAAGTAAAAAGGAAACACGCAAGTCCTTTTTTGATAGACAGTGTGATATACATAATAAGATATATCGACTACTACGTGTATTGGTTGAATACTCAAAGATCGACTATCATTTCAAACCTAGAGAAAAAATATTTAACTACATTTCAGGAAATATTTTTATCCTTCCTGTATTTTGTAACAATTGCGTACACTATTATATAACATATTTTAGCTGCTAAATCGTAGTTTCTTCTTTTACAGCTCAACTTTAATCCGATAACTTCGTTCCTGTTTACTTTGGATTTCTTCATCATTGCGCTCAATGTGAGTTTTTAGCAACTAAGGAATAACACAAAACACTCTGACTTACTTTAAATGAGTAATAAATGCTTATCATCGCGTTAAATATTAAATGTTACATTACGATATTTACAAGGTATGAGTAGAGGTAGCTGGCACGTTTTTACTGTGTAGTAGTGGCAGCGTAAGAGAATCTATACCGTCCCGTGGGGGGGTATTATAACAGGTGACAGAGGGAAACTAAACCAGAAGGTGGGCAGCATCATCTTCCTTATAACGATCGAAACAACTAACTAACAGTGTTGGCCTATGATAAGCAGTGCACTTTTCATAAGCCGTATATAACGAACGAATTAAAAATAAACACATAACTTATTATTTTTTTTAAGTATTTTAAGGTTCCTTATTACGTATTATTAGATAGAATGACGATAAACATATGATAAAGTTGTAGTCGCACTTACATCTTTATAGTTAGGCCTTGCAGGCTGCGAGCCCTGAGATATGATTAATCATGTGGATTTTGAATCCCTAGTCGGGCCAAAATCAATGTTACACATTATTTTTTCCAGACGTTAAAAAATCATCGGTGTGTGTGCGTTATGTGCGTAAGTACGTACAGGCGTGATTGCGTGCGTGCGTGCATGCGTGCATCCGTACGTCGTGTCTGCGTGCGTGGTTGTGTGCATACGTGCATGCGTGAGTGTGCGTGGGCACGCGCGCGTGCAGGCTCGCGAAGGTGCGTGCGCGCGAGCGTGGTGTGTGTGTGTGTGTGTGTGTGTGTGTGTGTGTGTGTGTGTGTGCTACAATAATAGTTTATCATACTGATTGTTCTAAATTTTACAAGAAGGTTTAAGAGTTTTGATTATAAACTGATCCACTTAATGAGTACTAATTTTGCCACAAGCTAAAAACACCCAATTAACTAGAACACTGTTGTTAAATAAGAATATAATATGCTATAACATTGTTTCTTACAGATTTATGCTATGATTTGCGTAATATCACAGTTTCAAGAGTACTTAGAAGGTCGTGGTACCGCTGCTTTTGATAACAGGGACAGGGTGAGTCATGAATATTGTTGTTAAGTCGCAACTGCACCTCGAAGAGAATATGTGTATAAATTAGACCCAAATTAGTTCAACTTAAAGATAAATAATTTACAATATATAATTTAATTTGTTTGCTATGTAGGGCCGAGTAGCAACTTAGCTAACAGTCTAAGTTTTTGTTCAACCTCAAAGGCATTAGATGCACACATTTAATAATATATAATATTTTTTATTATATATTGATTAAAACATAATAAAAGTCATTTACCACTGGCTCTCTAAAACACCTGGGTCCTAGCAATAACCAACACGAAACCCAGCGGAACTTTTTAACATTTTTAACTTTAGTGCTATAATAACCATTATTAAACAATTTTTGCTAAATAAAAACTTCAAAGTTTTTGATAGATAGCTCCTGCGTATTTTTTGGGCCTTTCTGTATGAAAAAATTTCTGACTCTTTGGAGTCCTCGATAGCTTAAGCCTCGTTATGTAGTAATCCTCAGAAAGACGAAAACGTTGCAAATCCTTTTCCTTAAACTCTGCGAATCCCTAAAATATGCGATGTCTTGAATCTTTCAGTCTTTGTAACTAGAATAAAATGTTACTTCCCTGCGAGTTATGGATAGTATTATATTTATACTTCATTAAATTTCAAAAATCTGATCGTATTTGGAATTCCCCGAACTCATAGAAATAAAATCCAAAAAAATGTTTGTTGCCGCTGTTTTATTGTACACGTGCAATGAGTGAAGACATTCATTAAACTTTCTCAAGTAACACATCTGTGTACCTGATGTTTATATGTGGGAAAAAATCGAATTTATTTTTATGTTGAAAACGCATTTGTCTACTCGAAATTTTCGCATTTCCTTTAAAATTCGAGCTTTGGAGTTTGCACTAAATACTTTTCAATTCGTCATTTTAATTATATTATTGTGTTTGGTAATAAATAATACACTTTTCTTTCTCATTTTCCCCTTTAGTTGAAAGATTTTACTCCACATTTCACTAACAGAGTGAAGCGAGTAGTGATGTAAGCAAATTATTATATTTTATTTTATGTAATATGTTGAATAAAACAAAGCACATAATTAGTATTTCATCGTCAAAAATGAATTCAACTTACATGTTGCATGATTTTTTAATAATAATTGATCAATAAATGTCAGTTTAGTTCAATAATTTAATTATTTTGATAGATTGGAACGTTGTTTTAGTTAAGTAAGTAAAAAAGTAAAGTTACAGCCTATATACGTCCCACTGCTGGGCGCAGGCCTCCCCTCACTTCTGAGAAGGTTTTAGGGCAAGGAAGTGTCCGTCACGCTGCCCCAATGCGTGTTGGCGAACTTCACATGTCTTCGAAGTATTTTTTTTTCTTATTCCTCAGACGTGCAGGTTTCCTCACGATGTTTTCCTTCACCGCCGAGCACGTGGTAAATCAGCACTTAAAATAGCATTTAACAATTTCATTGGTGCCGTCGGGGATCGAACCCGGGTTACTCGCGTTCTGTTGTATTTACAGCGAGCGTTAACCATCTGAGTTACCACGGCAAATAAAACATAACTTTAGTTCAAAGTTATGTTTTATTTCTTTTTTCCAGTACTCTGTATAATATATTATCTGTTGTTATTAAATGTGTCTACTACATTTCAACCTGCAGAGAAACTTCTGCAAGAAGTGTCCGACAGTCAGTTAGACAGTAGCTTGCAGATATAAACTACGTAGCAAGCACACTCGCGACAGTTTGTGAAGCGTTTCCGGCGAGTAGTTGCAAGTGCAATAGAATGCAAGTCTAAGAATGTACACCCACTTTAAAATGTGAATTCGTAGGTATTCATTATTTATGAGCATATGTGTTGTATATACAATGTATTATATATATATATATATCTGGTATACCATATTACGAGCAAATTATTTCGCTTTCCATATTGACCTTCATATTCGTAATGAAAGAAAAGGGTTTTACATAAATCAAAATTTTAAAGTTTACATGTACTGTAAATATCTAGTTCAATTTAGAGTTATTTAGCGAAATTATTCTTGTTTCTATGATTCAAAATGTATCGTATGATTTGTACTTAAAAGGGGCCAAGTACTTTGTTCTAATTAATTTCTTGATACGTACTTACACGTCTTGACATATTTGTATTTAAACCTAGCTTCTTTTTTAAAATTAAAATCATTTTTATTAGCAGTAAATAAATTAGAAAGTATCCAATAATAAATAAATTGTTAATGAACGATTTAAATTAGTACCAAATTAGTTTTGAATGAATTTTGATCAGATTCTATTAATTTATGGAATTTTAATATTAGATGCAATATCTTATAGAATTGACAATGAATATCTTTTCTCTTAAATATTCATGACATGCTGAGGAATTTGGTACTTTAAATAATATTGCAATTTCAGCTCGCCGCAGTGCAATACACTGTTACTGCACAGCATACCACCACCACCAGCTCAGCCCCGAGTGGTCGCCGTCGATCCGCCGGAAAGCCCATGCAGAGTCGTTATGATCCCGAGGAGATCTCACAGGCCCCAGCACAGGCTATTTGTGAGTCACCAAATTAAATGTTATTTGTTTTATTAAATAAATAAATGTTAATTACTACATCATAGGTACTATTCATAGTTCAAAGGAGATTATTAAAACGCTGACATTTATTACACACTACAACTACAACAGTAGTATACTATATAACACTACAATAGTTTATATTTGTAAGTTATCCTAAATTAAAATAGGACAGTATTTTTCTATAATTTTGCGATAGTTATAAGAATATTCACAGTACACCTAAGTGTTAATAATTATTATAACATGTATTTAAATTACATGAATATTGATCAAAAATCTAGCTTTATCAGTATGTCATAATATATTTTTGTTTAAAATAAAGATAAAATATATGTTATTTGGCAGCTTCCGCACTTTCAAAAATTTCACGCCCTGCGTTAAAAAAACACGTACAGTTTCCGGATGAACACAGTTGCATCGAAGAGGCCACTGAAAGAAAATCTGGTAAGTTTAAAGTCAGTAGTATCTTACAATGTAAGATTTGACGGCGCTGTCTAAATTTGAATTTTTTTTCTATTTTAAAAATAATCTACCGTGTACTATATGTACAATAATCTACCTTTTATTAACCCATAAATGCAGGTTTCCTCACGATAAATTTCACCGCCGAGCAATGCCGTCATTCAGCATTTAAAACTACAAATAACAATTTTGGTGCTAGATTCAGGATCAATATCCAACTCGAGTTGCTCGAGTACTAAGAAATTAAAGACCAACACTACCCCTAAGCTACCACAGCGCTCACAGAATACCAGCATAAAATAGCAGCATTATACAGCTATTTTACATTGGCGTTCTCTCTTTGACATCGTAATCCTTTTTCACAGACGATCCGTTCTTTGTAAACACTTTCATTGTGAGGGTAATTTTTTTTTCTTGATCGTACTGAACCACCCAGTCATCAAGTTTTTTATTTTATTAGTTTAATGTGTTTTAGCAAATCAAATATTTGCTAAAACACATTAAACTAAAATGTACTACATACTAGAACAGACATAGACTAAGTAATTTTAAGCTCACGGGGTCTAACATGTGTCGCAAACGACCAAGTCGCGACGTCTATTTTAGTACGTAGCATATAATTAAATGATGAAAAAGTTTCTTCGTATATTGTTTGTATAAAATTGGAGAAAAATCTCTTTGGTTACACTTTTTGTATCGGGCTGGTTGATATTAAATCAATACATAAAGGACAAAATTAAATGAAAAAAGTAAAAAGCACCTTCCCGCTATTTTTAAAACGACATCAATATTCGAATATAAATATTTTAATGCAATTGAAGTTCCACCCAAAGACTGGCACAATTATATGAGAATGACGGAACCACTGACCTCTATATATACAAGTACGCTGGACTGGCTATACCATACAAAATGACTGTGCCAATTTGAAGCGCCGCTAAAGGATGTCTTGAAAAATAAAATTGACATAATATGCCAAAGGATGTTGTCTTATTCATATTGTCATATATAATAAGTCTGTATTTTGAACTTTTAAACTAAAAAACGAAAGTAATTTATGTTATTTGATTGTGTATAATATTAATTACATAATAAGAATTATTTTCATTAATAATGAGAGGGTGCGTAATCTGTAAAACTCGTTACCAAAAGGGAAGTGTTATAACATTTCACAAGTAAGTGAATTTGCAGTAAATATTAAACAAATTAAAACTATTTGATATTATAAGTACTTAGAAATTTGTTACTAATCTTAATATCATATATACCAACATGTTTAGCTGTATATTACTGAGTTTTGATAAACAATATAATTCAATAGGGTTGTCGAGTTCCTTGGTAGTAACTTATCGATGTTCTTTCCTACCCATATCTGTTAAAAAAACAAAGTCACCAACAACAGATGATTATCAAATGTTTATTAATTAGTAGGTTTCCAACTGAACCTAGACTAAAATTATGGCTTAATATCATAAATATTGTGAATTGCCGTCCGAAATTATCATATTTGTTCCAAACATTTCACAGACGACTGTTTTATTAGGAAAAAGTGCAGTATACCGACAATATTTTCTGGTGGTACCAGTACCAAGCACTACCAACTACCAAGTACTAAGTATTAGATTATTATTTCGAATGATTTTTTATTTCTTCTTTCCTCATTTTCCACCAAACTCAAGGGCCATAGTCAAGTGTCAAAAGGTCGCCTGATGATGTCGAGTCACGTTGGATGTGTGTTAGTGGGCTGCGGCTAGAGGAGATTCCTCTCCCTGTATTGCTGGAAGAGGAGTGTTGGTATGGTGATTTGCGATGCGCCACTCGGCTGTTTTTCGCGACTTTGGTGAGGCTGCACCACTTGATGCTTCCAAGTGCTCGTTTTTCCCTGGCTCCATTCAAATATCGGGCTCGGTAATTGATAATTTCAGTTATTTTTTTTAATATTGTAATTTTAATTTCGAAAATGACGTTGTAAATAACTGATAACTATGTAATTCAAAGTTTATATTTTTTATATAATCTTACTAGCTCATACCCGGCGCATTGCTGCCGCAGAAGAAATAATTGTGGAAATATCGTTAAAAGTGTGGAACAGTTATATTGTATAATAAGGAATGATAAGACAATCATTGAAATAGAATGATATAGAACTTTCTATAACTTTCAAATAAATAGCCAGTATAATACGCACGCCACCTAGTGTCAGTTAATTGTACCATGCGTATAACCTTCTCACAAGTGCAACCAATAAGTTGACTAAGTTTTACCGCAATCTGATAAACGGTATGGCATCGTAGAAAGTACGAACAAACATAAATTTTTATATAGTAGAAAATATTTTACTGTCAATAGACAGACCTGTAGTTGATTAGAAAAGGCGTTATTATAGCAGCTGATTTGTTTTTTATAATACTAAAACAAAGTGAACAGTTGACAATAAATTATTCTAGAAATTATGTTTTTATTTTTATTTTGTGTACTTAGTTTAATCTTAATATTTTTTTAGTTGAATGGTTAAGAGCTATGATGGCTATCCGAGTACAGAACCAGAATACAAAACTAATCCAACTGTAGAGATGTGTAAGACAGGGTGACGTAATATCCCCGAAATACTTTACCGCTGCATTGGAAAACATTTTCAACCTACTGGACTGGAAAGGATACGGTATTAACGTCAATTTCGTGTACGTCACTCATCTTCGATTTGCCGACAATATAGTCCTTATGGCATAATCGCTGGAGGACCTACGCACTATGTTCAATGACCTCAATAGTGTCTCCCAACGGATAGGTCTTAAGATGAACATGGACAAAACAAAAGTCATGTGTAATGTCCATGTCACACCTATGCCTGTGGTTTTTGGGAGCACTTAGCTGAAGTTGTTGATGAGTATTTTTACTGGGACAAATAGTCCGACTAGGTAGGTCCGTCGATTGATCGACAGCTCAATCGACGGATTAAACTCGGCTGGGCAGCGTTCTGGAGATTACAACACATCTTCTCGTCAGGAATACCTTAAAATTAGATTGTACAACCAATGCTTGTTGCCAGTGATGAAATATGGATCTGAGACGAGATCTTTCACTGCTGGCCGTATGAGGAAGCTCGAATTCGCTCAACGAGCTATGAAGAGGGCTATACTCGGGGGTTCAAACTTAGGAATGAGGATATCTGCAGCAGAACCAGAGTGACTGACATCGCCTAATGGATTAGTTAGCTGAAGTGGCAATTGACCGGCCATATTAGCTCGAAGAACCGAATACTGACCCACTAGATGGAGTCAAAACCTGGTAAGACATGCAGGAAGTTGATGGATGCAGGTAGCTCAGGACAGTGCTTTGTGGCATTCCTTGGGGGAGGCCTATGTTCAGCAGTGGATTTGTGAAGGGTTTTAATGATGATGAATAATAATGATATGATACATAAATATAAAGAATGTTACGGGTAGAGTCCATCTATCCATAGAGTCCATTCTATTTATTTAGGTGTAGGTAGGGTATAGAATTTTTATCAATATAATTTGGTACACTGTCTTATCCCTAGTATTAGTTCCGTGGACGTGCACTTCTGATGTCAGCGCCAAAATGGCGGAAATCAAATCGCTTCATCATGTCACGGTGTATAGCCAGTCCAGCGTACTTATATATATAGAGGTCAGTGGACGGAACCGACAATAGACTTACAATATACTGGCGTATGAACGACCTGACAGCCCGAAAACGCGTGCCCGATTTTGATTTGTCATTATGTGCGTTAGCTAGTGATGTATATTTTACTTACAATGACTATTGAAAAATGATTGTTGAGAAAGCGGTAAAAAGATTAAACTCTCAAACACCAAGCGGTCAAATTTGATTTTCCGTCATAATTCAAGCGGTCAAATATGACCGCAACCACCAGCACTTTAACCTATAAAAACTTATATTTAAAGACTACTTTTCTATGAAGAAGTTTGGCATTATAGAATCAATATGAAATTTTCTATCCTCTAGTAGAATAAAAAACAGTTAATCTATGGATATTAATTTATATTCTACGTTCATTACGTACGCCATTTTCATTTGGATGTTGTTATATTGATTTTTGGATTTTTCTAGTGTTTTTTATTTATTTATTTATTTCCCACTATACAATTATCTTTACAAATTTATCACCTAATGAGATAATGTAGACAACTATTTTTACCAACTCCAACTACACCGTTACAAGCTAATAATTTTCGATTATAAATATGTACTTATTGTTATTTCAAACACCGTATCTATGTCACAGTAGTACCATAACTAATTTCAAATAGAGCTCTTACTATGAACCCACCCAGAGTACAACAAAATATATCTATGTCTTCTGCTATTCGGTTGAGGGAACGGAGGGCGCGCGTAAACGGCGCTTCAGTCACCAGCTTAGTGCGGCCGCGCTGCCCAGCTAGCAGCTGCGGCCGCCGCCGCCGCCCCACGTATCTGTCCGGACACATATGCGCACTTGTTGCAATACGTCTGAATTGTGAATCTTTCCCCTTATCACCTTAAAGATGTATGAAACAAGCGCTAAATTCCTCCTAACCTTTAGCTCATTGTATCCTACCATACCTAAGATGAATAAGGTAGGATACTTGTTTGGGTATAATGGGTATACTCCGTACATTTTTTGATATAAATATCTAATAAATATATTCTGCACTCTCTGGAGGTGGTCCGGTGGAGACCAGATGACCGCGTTGAATTCTAATAGGCTCCTCACTAAAGAAGTTTTTATTAGTGTTTTACTATAGTGTTTTATTATAAAATTGTTAAAAAAGTTTTTGTGTCAATATAATCTTTTTATGTAAATAATTTCGAGTAATATATAGAAATAATCGACATCCGCTTGGTATATTTTTTTGTTAATACAATAAAATCTTTTTGTAATGAAGTAAAACTATTAATAATTCGTATAATTTTATAATTTTCTATCCTGTGGTCTAAAGAAATGATTTTTACTGGAAAATTATGTATAGATTTTATAATGCCAAACTTCTTCATAGAAAATTAGTCTTTAAATATAAGTTTTAATGGTTTTAATAAATGGTGGGTGGGTGCGGTCGCATGAGAACGCTCGGGATTTTCGGGATTGAATTGAAGGGTTAAAAACTAGTTTAGTTCACGAAACTAAATAATTTCAAATATAAACTGAATTTTTAACATGATATTCTAAAATCATTAAAAATATTCGTATAACATGTTCCCGAGAATAAGCAGCACCTACCTGCGTTTTGTTGGATTTTAATTCAAAATGTACAAAATCCCAATAATCTCTGAAAAGGCGAGTCTACCGAATAAACTTAAATAATTTTACCCAAGAATCAGAATGAAAATTGTATATTGGAAGTAGTCATTAAACCATTTTTTTCTAATTATAGAATCCGGAGGAAATCATTTTTTTCATTCCTCATTTATTTTTAGAGAGCATTTATTTTCATTCCTATTCTTGTTGTTTAGGCAAGTCTATCGATTAATTATAGACATTCAAGATATATATCAACATTAATTTTGATATAGTTTAGTCAATCCTAAACGTACATGTAAAATATTTTGTATAAAAATGTATTTACCAAATTCATGCAAATTATCAACAATGTAACTTTTTCTTTGCAAAATATCAAAATTAATAAAATAATTGAAAATATTCTTATGTAAAATAAACTTTAACTAAAAATGAACACTTCTTATTACTAACGACGTCTTGCAAATTTACTTGTGAATCGTGCAATTATGAGAATTATTTCTATTATTAACACCACAGTCACTCACAGAATAAGTAACCATTTTTGGAAAACAACAACTTACTAAAAACTAATAGGTATTATATTCTAAAAATTACAAACTATCTAGGAGCTCATTTCTTGCGTACCGACCTGTCATTCAAAATCGGTTACAAAGTCATGAGATTTGCTATTCTTTCCTACTTTGCTACATTGCCATAAGGAATTTTCTTCTCACTTGTACACTATGTTGGTCTATTACTTTCCTAAGTCTATCGTCGATCGCAAAGATCCATTCACATCCAATACGGTATTCAAGATTGCCTGGGTGTTTGATGCGATCTCCGACATCGTCTGGGATCAAGTAAACAATTGCTTACGATCGTAACATACATTACACATCCGGCATTTCAATCAGTCTGAACCGACGGATCGTAACGACTGGGCTTACCGTATATGCAAGACGTTCCAAACAGTTCAGTCTTAGGACAGTTACTTCACTTATTTGATATTAAGCCTACAAGAAAAGTTAATTTAATAGTTTTCTACATAAAGCACCACATGGGCGACCACTCCGGTCCGCCAGTGGCCGTATTGCTCTATGGTTTTCTATATTCAGGTACTGGATAATAATTATAAGAAAAGGATTGGTACTTATAATTGACAACTTCATTATCTAAACGTCTTTTTATAGCACCATCATTTGAATATTAATATGTTATTTATTTTGCGAAAAACAACACATTAGTAAAAATATTTTTTTTTTATATTTTACATTTTTCACTAACACTTAATATTATTCGTTTGTATTTTACCTAGCCTACACACAAAAACTTAAGAATATGTCCCTTATTCCTATATAATTAACGTAAAAACGCAGCTCTACGTAATTCCCTAAAAGCTCTCTAACTATTAGTGTGTCACGTCTTTAAACACGCGGGACGAAATTGATTGATCGATTCCCTTTTATTAAACAGGCGCTGTGTTATCATACCTTATTACATTTATTTCGTTTAAATTTCTATGCAAAGTATTTTCCTTAATTGTCTTAGAAGCCCGCGTGATTAGTTCTTTGTGGATGGAGTTGGAGTCTGAAGCACCGGCTCCGGAGCGCTGACGGCGGCGCAGCGAGCAGTACTACAGGCCGGTGTCGCGCGCTCGCCTCGAGCGCCGGAAGATGTCCGCTGCCGTGGTACCGCCCGCAGATACTAATACCAAGGAGTCTTATTTGTAAATCCAGTATGGCATTGATTTATCGCCTTAAAAAGAAGTAAAGAGCAATAATGTGATTATAAATTAATTACTTATAAATGAAATGCAAAAATATGAATAATTTGGCATTTTTGTTAAGCCGCACAATTATAGTCATTGCGCTATATAGCATATGTATGATCTATTCTAGTGCCTAGCACTTTGTATGAAGCCTAGCCTTTGTATGACCTATCAGCCGTTTTGTAATTTCTAGTTCGTTTTATGTTGCTTTTGATTTCGATTATTGAGTTTATTTTTGTGTTTTTTAAGTTAATTTTCGACGTTTGTTGCATTAGTTTATTTAAAATTCCAAAAGTATAAAAATCTGGAAAACGGTAAACTCTTCAGGCACTTCCCGTTTATTTTCAAGTGCAATGCTCCTAAATCTATTTAAGTTTTGAGCTCGAAATGATCATTTGAGATGTTTTTAAAGGGCTATAGTTTTTGAACGCGTCGTTCGATTTTGACTTGCTTGACGGCGTTTGACATATTGATCGTTCATACAAGTTTTTAAGTACAAAACTTGTATGAAAGATCTTGAGACAATGGATTTAATAATTTAAAAGTTATTTAAAAAAAGGATTATTTAGGAATTTTTAATGGCAATAATTTTTGAATGCTTCGTTCCACTTTGACTTGCTTGTTTTTTTAAGTACAAAAAAGTGTTTCTAAAGTCTGGAATTGATTAACCAAATAGCATGAAAGTAATTTATTAATAATTCAAATTATTTTTTTTTTTTTGAAAATTTTTGAAACGGCTTGACCGTTGACTTAAAAATCTAATTAAATAAAAGTTCCAATGTACTCTTTCGAACATCACCTATCTCGATCGGATTCGTTCTAAAGATAAAGTACGACCAAATTTTATTTACACACACTCACATATACACACACGACCGGACGTACAGCCGGAAAAGTTGGAATGGTTTCCTAGGACCTCAAAATGTGGAGATCTGATGAAAACTCGCATTTTCAAAATAAAAGTCATCCGCATTAAGCTACAACGCAAAGATAGTAAAGAAAAGAATTATCTAAAGATTTATTCTGTGAGCAGTGCGACTGCAAGTGATTTTATTGTACGCATAGGACTACGTAGGCTTATAATTTGACAGAGGGGAACGTCTGTGTTTGGCTACTCCTCCAATCCGCCGACAGTCCATGTTGCTCTATGGTAACAGGGGACTGAAATAAAACTAATAGCATTTCTTGACCTTAGCATATTGATAGTATTAAGAGCAGTGTCTTAAAAATCTTAAATTTTATTTCACTTACACAACTTTTTAAAAATCAGTCAACTAAAATAGCTGTTTTAATAAAATTATTAGCGATTTTTGAATATTTTACTTTCTGTTCATTTTCATTTATTTTATTTAAGACGATAAATCTCTTGCTTTTACTCGCTGAATTAAACATTTACGATTTCCAGTGTAGGCGACATAAAATGATGCAGAAAATTGTCCGTTCACGATTGTTGAGTATCAACAAGGACTTACCAACTTCAGAGGATTCAAGTAGGAAAAGTATAGGTTTTTTTCTAGAACAGGGTAAAATAAAATCGAATATAGTCGTTTGTTTTGTAAAATTAGATGTATTAAAAGGATTTATAACGGATCTTTTATCGGTAAGCATGGATTGAACCCATCAAATAATTTTAATGAAATGAAGCATCGGATTTAATTTAAGGCTGTCAATTTAGTAAAAGCTTTTGTCGTAAAAGCTTTTGACTGACATTCAATAGATGGGATGCAATTTTCTTAGCTTTGATATTAAATTTAAAATTAGACATAATTAAAGTATTGGTTTAATTAAGTCAATACAATGTTTAGAAAAAAAATTTATGCAACGTGTCGTTTTGCTTCCTTTCCGTAGATGTTGTTGAATGATTAAAATTTTATCAAACTTATTATTCAAATGTATGTTAGTCTTAAGATTACCTAAAAAGTTATAAATGAAACTGTAATAGGTCACTAGCGTATAAGCAAAGATTCAATTAAATATGATAAAAATGTTAATTTCTGTCAATTTAAATACAAAAAAAAAAGAATAAAAGAAAGTTTCTAATGCAAATATATCGATGTATTACTACTACATATTTTATGAGTTAATGTAATATCACTTAACAAATGATAATAAAAAGCCAAAATATACGTCTTAATAAAAGTTTTCAATGTAGACCAATTTTCTTTCATAAAACTCCTAAAAACTAAGGTAAAAAGCATTATTTTTGCTTTTTACCTTAGTTTTTATATATTTAAATACTTTCTGCCATCTGTTTCTATTTTTATTTCAATGCCCGCGACTTCGTTCGCGTGGATGACGGAACTTAACAATATGTTTTTAGTTCAAAGCGCTGTTGGAGGATACCGCCATTTCACTTTACTTTATTTATGCAGGTGCTTCTTTATAAATGTATATGATTAATTGTGGAACCATCTGGAAAGTACACCAAAAGGTTATTGGGGCTGTTTACGCATGAGAGAGCTACGTATAAAAAATGGAAAAAGCATCCAATACTTGTCCACCCTCGCAACAGAGACTGTTTGAGAATTGCACTCGTTTGAAAAAGACAGGAAAATTATTAGGAATTATAGGTATTCTCGGAATAAAACCAATATCACCGGCGCCGCAACCGGTTAAGATTTCAGCTTCGATAATGTTTTGCTGCAGATTTGTGACTGAGCCGAGTGCCGTTACAAAGTTTGGGAGGATGTAAATTTCTAGGGAGTATTATTGGTACACCGATTTTTAAAACTATTTTGTGGGCTGGAAGTGCGGGTGTGTTGAGGGAATCTAAAAATATCTGTGGATGAATGAATTAACACATAAACCAATCTATATTTAAATTAATTGCTGCAGTTTGGTTGATGCGGGGAGTCAATAGCTCGCTGACATAGCCAAGAACCGGCTTGATTTCCCATGTCTGTGGAATCTCCGTACAGAGAAGAAATTAGATCCGGTACTTAATAATAGATGACAATATGATAAAATGTTGACAATTGTATGTACATTATACCAATGTATATGTCCATTTTTTATAGGATAGCATGACAAACAAGCACACAGTCCACCTGATGGTAAGTGGTTGCTGCGGTCCATAGACATCTACATCTATCCTCGATTACGAATCAAAATGCAGATGCGTTGTCATCCGTGAGGACTTAGGTGGAATGCCTCGTTTCCAGTAAAAAGGTCTCCGGTTCTCTACACTCACCATACGAAACACAGCAGCATTAAGCTACTATTTGACGCTGGTATTCTGTGAGAACGTGGTCCTTCCCCGGTCGAGCCGACCCATTCGTGCTACAACTATACTACTAATATAACTGCAGCATGGCTCTACCACGTAAACAACCACGTAACATGTCTCAGAACTCGCCATAAATCGCTTTTGTTGATCCCTAGCGCCTGGCCATAAGTCAAACCCAAAAACCATGAAACCCTTTCAGCCAGACAAATGCCCTTGAGTTTTTCACATCCCCAACTAGCGCCTGGCCAACAAATCCTTGATTTTTGCACTACCTGCTACTCCCCATACAAATCCCTTGAGGTCACTATCCTGCTACATCGATAGTCAGAAGCATGTGTGATATCGGTGTGAACTGTTCGTTTATAGCAATCTGCCGATAATTTATTTACTGATGTTGGTAGATACAATCATCTTCTCTACGCTCAGCCTACTAACAAGGTTGTCTGGGCTGTAGCCCCTATGACTGCGACTTCTTTGAGCCATTAGAGAATCCACTATACCTACATTGTTTCTACATTGGCAATACACATTGGCGGATTGGTGAACGTAAATCTTAGACCCTCCCTTTCAAATACTGCTCCATGCTATATATATGAGATATTTCTAATTTCTAGGTGGTAAGATTGTGCCTCTGATTAAGTACGGGTGGTACCTTATCTATTTCTGCTAACCGCTGTATTTCAGTCCGACGGTAAGGAGAGCCAGTATAATTAAAGGCTGAGGGTCATTCCATTTTATACTCAAAGATGATAATGCATCTGTAACATAGAATACTATAATACACAATACAATGGCTGTCAAACTTATTTTGGACGAGGTTCCGCATTGCCGGGAGCACACATACAAGCAATTACGTCGTATTATCACTACTACAAACCCGATTCGCTGTTTTGACAGACTGAGTAAATTTACACATTTTAGACTTTAGATTAATGTTCGAAATCATCATTTAGTCGTTTAAATTTTAATACATATTTATATGTAAACAGTGTGCAAATTGGTATTTTCGAAATAATTTGCATGCGTAATTTGGTAACGATTGTTACGTCAAAACACATCTCATGTTGACATTCGTCATTCATACGTGTGAATTGACATGTTAGTGACATTTTAGTTGCTATACGGGCTCCGCCCACTCCCCCGTACTATTGTGAATGTATTATAGTATTATATGATCTGTAACATTTTTTGTACAAAATTGGCTGAAGTGTCCATGGATTGCAATAGCCACTTGCCATCGAATGGAATGCAAGTTCATTTATCACTTCCGTTTATAAAATTAAATGTAGGTTTGAGAGATTTTTTGTGATTTTCACGTTTTCAGATTAAGGCAAAGGTGTTAATTGAAGTTATCTCTGATTTTCACCTCCTAATTACATTGAAATATTTTAGAAACAAAAGTGTGAATGAAATTCGAAGAGATCACAAGATTAAACGGTATTTGAACCTAAAAACTGTTCATCTCAGTGAGGGTGAGCTTAAGGGACTAAATGAGTTACTATGGGATAAGTGCAGTACTTTTTGATGGCTTTGCCAGCATCATTCTCTAATGTTTTGTATATTCAGCAGTGCACTGTGTGCGCATAAGATTGATATTTGCAGAGTAATAATAAGTTTAT